GTTTTTAAACTCCAAATTGTTGCCCGTTAGGCTACTCTTTTCGATTTCAAATAATGCACATCGGCGTTCGATCTCACTACCCATAGACCGGGGGAATTACTAGAAGTCCAAGTCCACGTGAAAAAATTTCAGCCCTTACCAGGGATTGAACCTGGAACCTCTAGCAACCGAGGCAGGCACCATGCCTCGAGACCACGCAACCTCATAACTGCCCCCCAAACAAGGAAGTAATAAAAGATAACTAATTAGGGGTGTTTTCTTTGAAGTCAGAGTGCATCTGCTTAACAGTGAGGGAAAAAAGTCAGATTTATAAAGTTTAATACATTAGGAGCGACCTCATTGCACCAGGTTTTATGTGGCTCAGTCTCTCTCCTCAGAACAGCTAGCTGCCTGCTAAGAGGATTGCACACAGTACAACCTCCGTAGCTCTGGTGACAATCCCAAGGAATCTCTTTTAAAAACTGCACTTGTGATGCAACCCACAACCTTCACAGTACCAAGAAAATGGCTTGACCACTTTGCCAGGGAGACACCCAGTCAGATCTATAAAACAGATGTGCAAGCAAAACTCAAGTTCTGGTACAAGACCAACATCCAGAAGTGGACAAGCAACCCAAACTTTCCACTAAAGTTTACAATCAATGAATGTTAGGAAGAAGACAGGAGAGACTGTTCTTTGTTTAAATGTCACTATAGCCCAAGAGTTGGCTCTGTGGCTAAGTCGTAATGCCGGGGTACCGGGTTTTTGATCCCAGCCGCGGGCCATGCATCTTGCGTTGGTTCGACAGTGGTATCAGGGGGCTGACCATCCAGAAAGCAATGGCAAACTACTGGACGTAAATTTGCCTAGAGAAACCACACAACAGCCAGGGGCTGCTGGGGTTGGTTCTGCAATGTCCTGTAAAGGATACGCAACAACCTTTTAACCATAGCCCAAGAAAACTGCAAAAGACTGGAAAATACAGGACTGGTTGCAATAGTCAAACAAAGGATGTTGCTGCAAAAAAGCCTTCATCAGCAGAACAGGACAACAGATAAAAATAAACTGAAGCTGCAATGATTACATTATTATATTCAGATATTATGTAAACAAATAAAACAAAATAGTAATTTACAATAGAATTAGTAAGTAAGTAAATTTACCCCACCAGGACATCACACAGAGCGATAAACACCCGGTGACACAAAGTGCCACCATGCAGAGAGGATCACCCGTGTAGAGTTCTCAGAAACCCCTTTCAGTCATTAGGCCATTTCTATGGTCCAGCTTTATTCAGGGCCTCCGACAGAAGCCAGGGTGGGGCCTCAAACAAAAAATTGCATCCCACAAGGGGATGACTGAATACACAATAGAATTATTAAAAAGTACGAAGAAATGAACGAACGATCTTCATGTTATAAGGGTCACAATTTGGGCATGTAGACCTGTCATATTTCTCAGGGGTGAGGAACCAAGAGACTGCATCTTTCTCAAGGGTGAGGAACCAAAAGACTGCACACAAATAAGCCAAAGCTGTAAAACAGATGTGCAAACAAAACTCAAGTTCCAGAACAAGACCAAAGTGCAGAAGTTGAAGCTGGAGTTTACATTAAGACAAAAAAAAAAAAAAAAAAAAAGATACAGCTCTTTAAAACTCCTTTCATCATCTCAACTGATAAAGACAGATGCTTTAGATTTCCAGATGTAAAAAAACAACAACAACTTACCTCCATAAGAGGTCCATCAGGTGAGATGGTTCTCATGAAGTTGGTGTACTTGCCAGACATCGTGAGCTGAGTAGCTGTGGCTTCATACGAGACAACAGGAATATTGTCGTTGACAGTAGCTCCAGACAAGCTGACGGCATCACCAGAGGAAGAGGCTCCCAGAATGCCTTCAATGACATTCAGAAATGTTGTAAATGTACAAAACACTTGATTAAAATTCTGCCTGTCTCTTCCCCTCCTGAACCCTCTATCTCTTCCCCTCCTGAACCCTTTATCTCTTCCCCTCCTGAACCCTCTATCTCTTCCATGCTGAACCCTCTATCTCTTTCCCTCCTGAACCCTCGATCTCTTCCCATGCTGAACCCTTTATCTCTTCCCATGCTGAACCCTCTATCTCTTCCCCTCCTGAACCCTCTATCTCTTCCCATGCTGAACCCTCTATCTCTTCCCCTCCTGAACCCTCTATCTCTTCCCCTCCTGAACCCTCTATCTCTTCCCCTCCTGAACCCTTTATCTCTTCCCCTCCTGAACCCTCTATCTCTTCCCCTCCTGAACCCTCTATCTCTTCCCCTCCTGAACCCTTTAACTCTTCCCCTCCTGAACCCTCTATCTCTCCCCATGCGGAACCCTTTATCTCTTCCCCTCCTTAACCCTCTATCTCTTCCCCTCCTGAACCCTTTATCTCTTCCCATGCTGAGCCCTCTATCTCTTCCCCTCCTGAACCCTTTATCTCTTCCCCTCCTGAACCCTCTATCTCTTCCCCTCCTGAACCCTCTATCTCTTCCCCTCCTGAACCCTTTATCTCTTCCCCTCCTGAACCCTCTATCTCTTCCCCTCCTGAACCCTTTATCTCTTCCCATGCTGAACCCTCTATCTCTTCCCCTCCTGAACCCTCTATTTCTTCCCATGCTGAACTCTTTATCTCTTCCCCTCCTGAACCCTCTATCTCTTCCCCTCCTGAACCCTCTATCTCTTCCCCTCCTGAACCCTTTATCTCTTCCCATGCTGAACCCTTTATCTCTTCCCATGCTGAACCCTCTATCTCTTCCCCTCCTGAACCCTCTATCTCTTCCCCTCCTGAACCCTTTATCTCTTCCCCTCCTGAACCCTTTATCTCTTCCCCTCCTGAACCCTCTATCTCTTCCCATGCTGAACCCTTTATCTCTTCCCCTCCTGACCCCTCTATCTCTTCCCCTCCTGAACCCTCTATCTCTTCGCCTCCTGACCCCTCTATCTCTTCCCCTCCTGACCCCTCTATCTCTTCCCCTCCTGAACCCTTTATATCTTCCCCTTCTGACCCCTTTATGTCTTCCCATGCTGAAAGCGTTTATGTGTTTGTGCATTTTCTTTCAACCATTTCTTCATTTTATTTCTTTTTTGGGTCATTATTACTGTTGTATTTATTATTGTTGTAAACACAATAACCTTCATAAATGTGAGCTAGATTACAGATAATAAAAGCAGTTGGGTTATAACAATTATAGCAACAGACGGTAACAATAATAATGTACAGAGGCAACAATCACAGAAATGTGGCACGTCAGATAAACACAGCAAGATACACATTACAATAACAACATATGTAATGATGAGAAGTAAAATTTAATAAAAATACAACAAACGAGAAGCCACAAAAGGGCAGCAGCTGAATTGGCGGATTTCAGCCTGGAGGGCACTACCTGAAAAAATGTAGAAAACCACTGAGGTCGATGATTAGAATAGCAGGTGCGAAGGAAGCTGCAGGAGATGGCAAAGGATTGGATGGTTTGGTTGAGTTTGTTGATGGCTTATACTCAAATGAAGGATCAAGAAAAGAAGAAGAAGGATAAATGAAAAGAGAAAGAGGAGGAAGAGAAGAGGGAGAAAAGAAAGAAAAAGAGGAACAGTGGAAACAGAACAGGAGGAAGAAAAAGAGGGTAGAAGATCAAAGACCTTGCAAAAAAGTTGGAGTAAATCTAACTGCCGCACTGGAACTGTTATAGTTACCCGTCTTATAGCTTATACTCCAACAAAGGATAAAGGAAAGAAGAAACAGGATAAAGAAAAAGAGAAAGAGGAGGAGGAGAAGAAGGAGAGGAAAAGATAGAAGATGTCTAGAAGGCAGGAGGAAGAAAAACAGTCAAACAACTAGCAAGAAATTTGGAGAAAATCTAACTGCAGCATAAGAACAGTTATAGTTACCCAGAGTAAAATTATTGGTCGACGGGGTGCAAGCTTCATCATCTGTATTTAGCTCTGGGAAAATATCCATCACTGAAGCCATGGCAGTGAACTCATTACTGCAGTAGTTTCTCATCTTCAAACCTGCAAGACAGATCAATGGTAAGGTTATAGTTTGACCCTAGAAGGTAATGTTTCAAAGATTTTTACAGGGCAAAAGCGTTCATGTGTTTGTGCATGTATTTAGTCAACAATATCTTATCTCTGTTTCTTTAGTATCATTGTTATTTTTGTGTTTATTATTATTGTAAACACTGTAACCTTCACGACTATGACCTAGATTATTGATAAAAAAAGCATTTAAGTTATAAAAATTATATCAACAAAAGATAACAATAATATGGTAAATAGGCAACAATTCTAGTAATGTGGCGCGTCAGATAAACACAGAAACATACGCATTACAGAACAGAGAGAATGAAAATCAAATAAACTTTGATATGTGCAGGAAAAATAGCAGTTTAATTCTTTGAGTAAATGAACTAACGAATGAATGACATAACTGCACTCAGGAAATTCCTACATAGGCTCTGTCCCCTTTCTCGGTAGCTGAAGAATTCTCAAAACTAATGGTGCCAGCTGCAACCTGGTTTAAATTCCTCTTGTCTCTTCCCATCCTGCACCCTCTGTCTATTTCCCACTGAACCAGTCTTTCAACCCTCTGTCTATTTCCCACTGAACCAGTATTTCAACCTTCTGTCTATTTCCCACTGAACCAGTCTTTCAACCTTCTGTCTATTTTCCACTGAATCAGTCTTTCAACCCTCTGTCTATTTCCCACTGAACCAGTCTTTCAACCTTCTGTCTATTTCCCACTGAACCAGTCTTTCAACCCTCTGTCTATTTCCCACTGAACCAGTCTTTCAACCCTCTGTCTATTTCCCACTGAACCAGTCTTTCAACCCTTTGTCTATTTCCCACTGAACCAGTCTTTCAACCTTCTGTCTATTTCCCACTGAACCAGTCTTTCAACCCTTTGTCTATTTCCCACTGAACCAGTCTTTCAACCCTCTGTCTATTTCCCACTGAACCAGTCTTTCAACCCTCTGTCTATTTCCCACTGAACCAGTCTTTCAACCCTTTGTCTATTTCCCACTGAACCAGTCTTTCAACCCTTTGTCTATTTCCCACTGAACCAGTCTTTCAACCCTTTATTTCCCACTGAACCAGTCTTTCAAACCTCTGTCTATTTCCCACTGAACGAGTCTTTCAACCCTCTGTATATTTCCCACTGAACCAGTCTTTCAACCCTCTATTTCCCACTGAACCAGTCTTTCAACCCTCTGTCTATTTCCCACTGAACCAGTCTTTCAACCCTCTATTTCCCACTGAACCAGTTTTTCAACCCCCTGTCTATTTCCCACTGAACCAGTCTTTCAACTCTCTGTCTATTTCCCACTGAACCAGTCTTTCAACCCTCTGTCTATTTCCCACTGAACCAGTCTTTCAACACTCTTATTTCCCACTGAACCAGTCTTTCAACACTCTTATTTCCCACTGAACCAGTCTTTCAACCATCTGTCTATTTCCCACTGAACCAGTCTTTCAACACTCTTATTTCCCACTGAACCAGTCTTTCAAAATATGGATACTCTGACTGTTCCATTGTACTGTCGGTTTGATTCTGGAGAGCCTTCTTCTTGTCCACATAAAGTAGCAGCTGAGTTTTATTCCACGGCACAAGCAAAGTACAATTTGTGATCAGCTGTTGATGTCCTGGAAGAGACTCACAAAGAGAACTAGCTGCCCACATCAGAAAGAGACAATCTGCATTCTTTGGTATTGTCATGAAAAGTAGAAAACTGGAGTACACTGTGACAGTAGAAAAGTTGGAGGGAAGGAGAGGCAGAGGGATACCGACAGAAAAAATGCTGGACAGTCTGACATCATGGCATGGAGGATCATCTGTGTCAGAGTTGATTGAAAGTACACGAGATAGAAAGTTGCAGGTAGACATGACTACCAATGCCACATGGCATGGACTTTAAGAAAAAGAAGAAGTTGTCTGAGTGCTATTATACAGTCTACATTTGGTCTGAACGTACTAGATAGTTTAGCATAAATCACTGTGTCTGTTTCAATAAAAGCTGTATCCAGGCTGACACTGTGAAAATCAAATATTTCGAGCTCCCCGTGTGGGATCCGGGGCCCCATTGTGGGGGAAAACAAGAATAGACCCACTGCCTACCAAAAAGCATGTCGTAAGAGTCGACTAATTGGTAGCTTCCTTTGAAGTCGGAGTGCATCTGCCTGAGAGGCAAGGAACCAACAGTCTGCATTCAAGTGAATCAGATCTGTTAAACTGATGCACACGCAACACTCAGGTTCTAGAGCAGGACTGCAGTCCAGGTTTGGATGAACAACCAGAACTTCCCACCAGAGAATACAGCTGGTGAATGCGAAGAAGAAGAAGAAAAAAATATTTCTAGCTAAGTCGTCTAAGAATTTGTTGCAAAATCTTCTTCTAGTATAAGAGTGTAAAGTAAAATAAATGACCCTTTTCCACACCATTAGGCATACTGTGTAGTTAGGACTAGACCTATATTTTCAAGAGCAGTTGGCACTCGATGGGCAACATCAAACCAGCTGCCTTTACTTCCCGGAATTTCACCTGATACCCATTTTAAAGTTGGTCAACCTGGAAAGCAAGGTCATTTTTCTCTTTTAAACTCTAGCTCAATGAGGATTTGAACCTACAACCTTAGGGCCCAAGGCAAGCATTTTGATGCTACACCACAGCCGCCCCCTGAAACAATTTAACGTCTTTTTAAACAAGTTGGAGTCAGAGCAGCAAACAACCATTAATTCCAGTATGAGGGTGACCACAAATACAATACACAGTTACCTAATCTGATGCCTGGCACATAATAGTCTTTCTGAAACTGAGTCTGTATAGATTCATTTTTCTTGTTTAGCAGTTCCAAAACCCAGCGGATGGCTTCGTATGCTTGCATATCTGTGAAAAAAAAAAAAAAAATGCAGTCACAGCTGTTCTACACTGAGCATGGTATAACACGATTATATGGAAGATCATCTGTGTCAGAAATTATAGAAGGCCCTGGATAGAAAGGACTACAAATGCCACATGGCACTGACTATAAGCAAAAGAACACAACCAGGCATATCATAAGAGGTGTCTTAACCTGACTTGACTTGCTTTGCTAAAAAAACAAATCGTCATGTTCAACCAGCATTTCTCGAAGGGAAGGGGGGTTTTTGGTTATAATTGTGACTAGGTTTAAGTGTACCATATAAAATGGCTTAGCACTCCTCACCACAAAGTAAACCTGAAAAGGACTCTTGCAGTGTTCATGCGATCAACAGAGACAGACATAAATACTGTCCCGACCGACGACCAAACTGTGCACTGGCCAGCCAATGGACAACCTGGTCACCAATCTGAGGTATCTAAAGATTAGTAGGTATTTGTACCCCACCAGGACATCACATAAGAGACAAACACCTGGTGACACAAGGTGCCACCATGCAGATGAGGATAACCCATGGAAAGGTCCCAGAAACCCCTTTCAGCCGTTAGGCCATATCTATGCCCCGGCTATATTCAGGGCTCCCAGCAGAAGCCAGGGTGGGGCTTCAAAAAAACAAAAATATTTCATATCACATGGGGACGACTTTTGATATGAGGTGTCTAAAGTAAAAAGTTAAGAGATGTTTACTGAATGTTGGTCTTTTGGTTGGTTTATCAACTTTTAAAACTAGAAAAGTAACACACAACAGAATTTCAGATCATCATTATAATCAACTTCCACTTTTGTGATTAAACTCAAAGGAAAAAATTTGTGGTTCATGGGACTGGTGCAGAGCTTTTATCTAGTGGTATGCATTAGCAGCACAGGCTACTTGTCTTTGCAGTGCTACTGTAACAGACATCAGCATCTGTGGCTTATGCATTGCAAACGTGCTTCCTAATACAGAGATGCTGGGTTGAATCCCAGCTGCGGACGGTTTGTCTTGCATTGGTTTCGACAGTAGTACTGACAGCTGACCGTTCAGAGCAATAGCAAACTACTGAACGTAAAAATTGCCTATAAAAATCACAACAACCAGAAAATGTTGGGGTTGGTTTTGCAACTAACTAATTATAACACACACTTTGTGGTGAGTGCTGGTAGGGGCGGTACTTAGGCTATGTGCAACATGTGCAGCTGTAAAGGGTGGAGAGATTTTTAAGGGTGATGAGATTTTAAAAGTGGCAAGATTCTGGGGGGGTGGGGGGGGGGGGGGGGATTTTGAGGGTGGCAGGATTCAAACAGAAATCATGAACATAAACAAGGACATCAAAATATCGACAGAACATAAACGACATTCACTAAAGCCGGTGGGCAATTTCAAATACCTTGGAAGCATTTTCACATAAGATGGCAGACCAGACAGAAAGATTGAGGCCAGAATCCAAGCCAACAACTTATGAACATTTTTTTCAATACGGAAACATCCAGCAATGGAAACTAAATGACGCAGTAGACATCAAGATGCAGAAGAAGGCCAAGGAGAATATGGATGGATGGAGTTAACACCCTGCTGAAACTCAACAATATGACCAAGCAATAATAATATAATAAGCAATAAAAGAAATTTTTTTTTACCATTAAAAGAACAAGAGCTGAAACTATCTGTAAAATTAGATGTTTCAGAAAAGCAGTCAACGTAACAAAAAGAACCATAAAATAATTGAAGATATCATCAGAATGGTGGGAACAAAACATATAATTAGATTTATTGAAAAACATGGACTGAAATGGTTTGGCCACTTGGTCAGAATAAACCCAGCATTACTGGTTGCAAATGGGAACATCAACACGCAGAGGAAGGCCAAAACAAAAATAGCTAGATGGAGCACAGCCAGCTCCAGATAAGACCGTATAGCTCAATGAGAATTCCTGTTTTTGGAAGCCCAGTCGTGGCTGGTCAGTGCTCATCATAGTTACCGAGTTAATTTATACACAGATTACATTGCAAAGTCATGTGACTACACTAAGCTTCTGGTGGCCATGAAACAGGCGCAATGTATCGGAAGAAACTATTCCCATTTCAGTTGGATTTATTCAGTTTTGTGCTTTATTTTATGTTGGTGTAACTCTGTAGTAACGTACCTGATGAGATACAGCGAAATATGCCTGGCAATAAATTATGCAATGTATTGTTTGTATCCGCATTATTTAAATTCATTAACGGAAAACATTGTTTTAAATTTAAATAATTGCCTACTTAATTGCAAGTTAATTAAACTTTTGTTTAATTTATGACCGCCACAGCCGGCCTCCCCAAAAACGGGAATTCCTGTTGAGCTGTATGGCCTTATCTGGAGCTGGCTGTGGATGGATTTAACAACTTGCTGAAACTCAAAAATGTCACCATGCAGTGAGCTAACGACTGCTAACTGTCCCAGAAATGGATCACAAGCAGTGCCTGTGACATTTAACAGCATTAAGCAGAGAAAGACGATAGATGAATAGAAAACGATGTCAATTTTTTTCTTCTTCTTTTTTGTGTGTTCACCGGCTGTCAACTGCAGCAGAAAGTTACAATTGTTTGTCCACTTCTGAACTTTAGTCTTCAGTCTCAGTCAGAACCTGAGTTTTGCATACACATCCATTCTACAGATCTGGCTTATTTGTATGCATGCTGTTGGTTCCTTGCCTCTCAGGCATATGTACTCTGATTCCAAAGGAAACCCCTAATTTGTTGACTCTTATGACATGCTTGTTAGGGAGGCCATAGGTCTTTTCTTTCTTTCTCCACACCGGAGCCCCAGAACCCACACATCATTATAAAGTTTTGTTCTGTATTGTGCATGATTCCTTCATTAAGATCCCAATTTGCATGTTTATTTTATCTGTTACGTAATCAGTCAAGTTTAAATATTTCAAAAGTTTAAAAATGAAACAAATAATTTCAGAACTTATTGTTGGTAGTCTGTAAATGAACAGCGATGCTGAAGTACAGCCGAGGAAAAAGGGGCGCACAAAATAAATGACTGCACAGGGGCGACACACATCCTTAAAATGGTCCTGGTACCAGCACCTCTCCCCCCCCCCCCCCCTGCTAAACCATAAAATTCCTGAGCCATCGTAAAACATCCTTTGTTTTAGAATCAGATTTCTAGCTCTAAATGTTAGGATGCTTCATTCAAACCCTAATGAACATCAAAGACCTAAAACAGGTGGCAATGAACCGCCAGACATGAAGAGCTTTGACCTCTGCCCTATGCGCAGCCTTAGACTCAAGAGGAAAGACTAACTAATACTAAGAATATATATCTTCCATGGTATTTAGCGTCTTTGAAATTAATATTGGAAATTAATATACTCATGGTTTATCCTATTGGTTATTTTACTTTACATATGGGCACCTCTTGCAAAAGCATTTGGTATTAAAGAGTCCATTCACTGATTTACATAGCTTTCATCATAGCCTTCCTACAGTGAGCCACAGCTATATCTACTCACCATCCGTTGGCTTCCCACAGCCAAACCCTCCTGTACCCTGTTCGTTCAAGGATATAATTCCTCCAATCCAGGCATTGGCATCAGGCTGGATGGTTGCGGTGTTGCCTATAGCGCAGGTTTGTTGCCTTAAATTTTGCCCTAAGGACAGCAGAGGCAGACAAACAAGGGCCACCAGAGCAGGAAACGTCAACATATTGTTGGTCTGAGAAAAAAAAGGTTAACAAATTGGTTAGCTCAAGATATTAATAAAAATATATTTTCTTATTTTTCTTCTTGGTGTTCACCACCTGCAAACTCTGGTAGAAAGTTCTGGTTGTTTGTCCACTCCTGAAATTTGGCCCTGATCCAGAACTTGAGTTTTGCATGCTCATCTATTTGACAGATCTGGCTTATTTGTATGGAGACTGGTGGTTCCTTGTCATTCAGGCAGATGTACTCCCAACTTTGAAGAAGAATACCCCTAATTAGCCACCTCCTATGACAGGCCTGTCAAAGGGTCACGAGGTCTGTTCTCCAAAATGGAGCCCCAGAACCCAAATGGGCAGAAAAGATGTCAGTCTAAATGTGAAGCAGAGCCAGTCAATTTCACATTTTCACAATCACAAACAAAAATGAACATTGTGGCTACAAATCCTTCATCAGCTTATGATACAAAAGGATAACTGCTACAGGTAGTCTATGCTCTGAATGGGTAGAAAGCATTTAGAAGTTGCAGTTAACCTCCATCATCTGGATCTACACAGCTGGAATCGCAGGAGTATATGGTAATGAAAGAGTTGAACAGCTGGCAAGTAATGCACCAATGCAAACGGGAAGAAGCCTGGACAAAGCTGATATCATCAACGCTGTACGGACTAGGTTGGGGGATAACGGCGAATCTCTGATGCTAACACAACTGATTGGCCGAGGAGTTAAGATACTTTGGGGTGAATTTTCTTTAAAAAAAACAACAACAACTAATAAACAATATCCCTGATTAACTCTTTGAGTCCCAAGGAACGCATCATACGTTCATAGGTTCCTACCTAGAAGCCCAATGAACGCATGATGCGCCGATTTTATTACTCTCTTTACTACTCCCTGGGCCTGTGACGTTAAACCCCCTGGGACTCAAAGAGTTAAGAGTCTGAAATATATAAAAGATGTGGTTCATGATGCTATCAATATTTTGACTAGTCACTTGCACTTATGTGTGTGTGGAATTTTCAGTTAAGCAGATCTGAAGCAAAGTACTTATATTACTTTTACTCATGGCTTTTTATTCCAGAAAAAACAAAAGTGCCAGTACTCACCATTAAGTGACTAAACAACATGCTGGTACTTACCATAAAGTGTCTAATTATGGTGAAGTTGCTGTACTTACCATAAAGTGTCTAATTATGGTGAAGTTGCTGTACTTACCATAAAGTGTCTAATTATGGTGAAGTTGCTGTAAGTAAAGTAAGTAAAGATCCCTTTTCACGCCTTTCGGCGCATCGGGCATATGGGCAGAGAGTCCCATATTTTTACAGACCATCAGCACTCGGTGGGTAATGTGGTCAGCATTACGCCGGCTGTCTTTACTTTCCCAGGACAGCCCATCCTGGTACCCATTTTAGGCTGGGTCGACTTACCATAAAATGTGTCTAAGCAAGGTGCTGGTACTAACCACAAAGTGTTTTTAAAACAGAACTAAAAAATAAGTGCCAGTACTGCATATCTTGTACCAGCAGGGAAAAAAGCTCTAATGTTTACTAATCTTAACCTAAAATACAAGAGATTAGATGGCAGTTAGGACTGGAGTGTCAGTTAGGACTGGAGTGTCAGTTAGGATTGGAGTGTCAGTTAGGATTAAAGTGTCAGTTAGTTAGGATTGGAGTGTCAGTTAGGATTGAAGTGTCAGTTAGGATTAAAGTGTCAGTTAGTTAGGATTGGAGTGTCAGTTAGGATTGGAGTGTCAGTTAGGATTGAAGTGTCAGTTAGTTAGGATTGGAGTGTTGTAACTGCAGATGCCTGATCTAGCTAATGTACAAGAAGAAACAACTACGGATGCAGAAATCGAGAAGCACTGCCAGAGATCCCGGTATGGGCTCCAAGTGGGAGGAGGGGAGTGGAGTAAATTGTTCCCCTGCCTCACAAAAAGCATCTCACAAAAGGCGACTAATTAGGGGTTTACTGGAGATGAATGTTCTGCATAAAAAGGTGCAGATATCAAAGCCTAGCTGTAAACCACAATAAAATATACCATCCACACTTGTACGGATGACAGAAAAGAAGAAGTCACACAGAGATACTTCAATGTTGTATGTCATTACTAGATTTGGGTAACATAATACAGGAAAAACTGGCTAGTATTTGCATTTGGTTTTACTTTGTAGATATCCACAGTACACCATATTTAGGACTTTCATCAGTCTATTAAGACATTAAGATAGTAAACACTGTTTTTGTAAGACGATGATTGAATTAAACTCTTTTGACTATACAATCCTAATGTAAGTAAAGGACCCTATTCCACGCCTTTCGGGAGTATTGGGTATATAGGGCTAGACATATTTTATAGACAGACAAACGGCCTGATGTGTGATGTGGTCAGCATCACTCCGGTCGATATAATCCTAAAAGATAATACAATAATAGTAGATACATTTAGGGAACCAATTAAAGCAAATAATAAGAGATTCAATTCGCCAACTAACTAAAATATATCCTATCTCACAGACTTCGGTGATCTAATCGCCAACCCCTGGGTGATACAGAGAATCTTTATGAATTCAATATCATCAACTTACAGCCCGCCCAGAACAAACGACAGTGCACTTAACATATGAAAGCTAAATGAGAAATCCACTAAAATAGGATTAACGAGATATGGATAACTTACCTGCTTTGTGGCGACAGAAAATGTTCCCTTCTTGTAGAAGGGCTTGAGAATGTAGCAAAACTAATTCTCTGGTCTTTCTTGGATCGTTATGAATCAGAATCTTTCCTTCCTGCGATCTCTGACTCGGCTTGCAAGTAGACCCAACCCCGGTGTAGCCAAACCTGTTGGGGTGTTGATAGTTGCGAGAAACGGCCCAAAAATAGCCTGCCATATTATATTGAATGTTGAAAGGATTCCTTGAGAAACCTGTCTGGCCGGTTCTGGCGGTTTGTCCCTAGGCAAGGGAAGTCACGCAGTCTATACTTGCTGGTTATGATAACACCTCGGTGCTCTCCCTTCTACTACTACTACAACTACTACAACAACAACAACAACTACTTCTACTACTACTACTACTAACTACTACTACTACTACTACTACTACTACTACTACTACCACTACTACTACTACCACTACTACTACTAATGCTACTACTACTACTACTAGTACTACTACTACTACTACTACTACTACTACTACTACTACTACTACTACTTCTTCTTCTTCTTCTTCTTCTTCTTCTTCTCTTTCTTCTTCTCCTCCTCCTCCTTCTTCTTCTTCTTCTTCTTCTTCTTTTTCTTCTTCTTCTTCTTCTTCTTCTTGTTCTACTTCTTCTTTTTCTTCTTCTTTTTCTTTCCCTTCTTCTTCTTTTTCTTCTTCTTCTTCTTCTTCTTCTTCTTCTTCTTTTCTTCTTCTTCTTCTTCTTCTTCTTCTTCTTTTTCTTCTAGCCTTGTCGCGCGGCGTTGAAAATCGTGTGTCCACAACCTACTGGCTCGTGTACTTTCGGTTAGTTCTGACACTGAGGATCTATCATGTCATGATGTCAAACTGACCACCATCTTCTCTCTCTCCTCCCTCTGCCCTCCCCCCTCCCGCCCCCTCGAACTTTCCTACTGTTAAGATGTATTCCAGCATTCTCCTTCTCATGCATGACCAGAGAATATAGATTATCTCCTTCTAGTGTAAGTAGTCAGTTCTTTTCGTGAATCAGTTTATTTCACGACATCGTTATAACTGTTTTTATCTGAACAGTGTTCTCATCATCTGTCTAAAAACCACACAACGGCTATCTTCAGAATAACGGTCCCAAATTATCGAGGTTATAAAATATACCCTAACAGAGCTTCTGTCACGTGTCAATTGCGTACTTCCGTGGACGTAAATTGCGCACTTCCGGCGATTTCCGCCACCGCCGAGGGTATCCCCCACGCCGCTCACGCGGCATGGTGGCACTTTGTGTCACCGGGTGTTTATCGCTCGTGTGATGTCTTGGTGGGGTACAACAAGCAAGCAAGCAAATGTAGCTTACTAGTATATATGATAAAGTAGTCCTGGTGTGGAATGCAATTTTTTGTTTGAATCCCCACGCTGGCTTCTGCCGGGGGCTCTGCATATAGCCGGGCCATAGATATGGCCTAGCCATAGATGTGGCTTTACGGCTGAAAGGGGTTTCTGGGACCTCTCCACGTGTGATCCTCATCCGCATGGTGGCACTTTGTGTCACCGGGTGTTTATCGCCTGTGTGATTTCCTGATGAGGTACTACTATCTACCTACCTAAACGTAGCTTGCTTGATGACTGTACTATTAACTCGAAGGCTGCATTTTGGAGCGTCCATTTTCTTTTTAATTGTTGTTTCTTCTGTTTTTCTACTGTTCCAACTAAGATCCTAGTTTTGACTTTCTGTCAGAATTGTGTCCATCTTTTGGCTGTGTTTCATTTTCATTGATCAAAACTGTACCATCAGCGTAAACCGGGTTGTTTCCAGCATGCCCAGCAGCCGATATATAAAATCGTAACAACGCTGATCCTTTTCCTAATTTCTCATCCTATTTAGGATGACAGTTTTCATCATTTGAAGCCCTACTCTGGCTCTTGCCGGGGGCCGCAATATACCCTGGCCATAAATATGGCCTAAAGGCTGAACGCGGTTTCTGGGACCTCTCCACGGTGATCCTCACCCACAGGGTGGCACATTGTGTCATCGGGTGTTTATCGCCTGTGTGATGTCCTGGTGGGGTAGAAAGTCAGTCAGATCCTTTTCCGGAAAGGACTGCTGGTTACACCAGGCTGGTGTAGTCCGTACGGATCATCATCATAAATATCATCATAAACCACTTCTGCCGTTAAGCGGCGTGGGAAGAAATAATATGCGATCCAGTGCACGTTGTCATGCCGTTAAGGCGTAGAGTGTCTTTAATGTTGTCGATGCATATTTTCCGCGGCCGTCTTCTTGCTCTTGTAGCTGATCTTCTGAGATGTAGTGCTTGTGATGGTATTTGATCTTGCT